GAATCCATTTCTAAACAGTTGTATTTCAATGGCAACAAACTTACAAAACATGACTTAGGATGCTGTTAAGCCTGTTGCAACTAACAGTTGTATTTATTTTTTAATCTGTCCATTTCCTACCATGCTACTCTCCACAATGAAGATATACTAGAGATGCTGCCCATTTGCTATTTTTGGTGGATGCTAACCCTGTTCTATTTAATATGCATGTCCATGTACTTACGCAGGGTCATAACGGCCAATGGCGTTGTTTGCCGTCGAGGTTAGCTGCATCCCATGTCTTACAGTATTTCACATCATTTGTGCAATTGCAGTTTAACTTCTACCATTTACTGGTTGCCTGTAGGTACACATGTCAATGGCACTGATCCACGCTTCGACCCGGAGGAACAGCTCGCCTCCGCCGCCGCTGACTTTGGGCGGGCTCTGGCCAAGATGAAGTGCCCCAACAACTACCTCTAAGGACTTACCAAGTCTGTACTCACCAGTTCAATCTTACCAATACCAGTTGCAATTAATGGCTATATTTTGTACGGTCGATGTATTAAGCATGTTGTAGTAAACATGCCTAGCACGTTTTAGTTATTTTCCCTACCTTTTTATAGACAACTAGGCCATCATCTGCTCTGGCAGCACCTGCCCTGTGATGTTTAACTTTGCCAATTGCATTTTTATCAGTACCGGTTTCAATGTCCATTAAGCCTGTTGCAATTAACAGTTGTATCCATTTTTAAAGAGTTGTATTTCAATGGTTACAAACTTACAAAACATGAATTAGGATGTTGTTAAGCTTGTTGCAACTAACAGTTGTATCCATTTTTAATCTGTCCCTTTGCTACTGTGCTACTCTTTCGCAATGAAGATATCACTACAGATGTTGCCGTTTTATTACCATTTGCTATTTTTGGTGGGTGTTAACCCTGTTGTAGTTAACATTGGCTTTCCATGTACTTACACAGGGCTACAATGGGCGATGCTGTTGTTTGCCGTCGAGGTTAGCTGCATCCCATGTCTTATACACCATCTATTCCTAAATATAAGTATTTTTAGAGATTCCAATATAGACTACATAAGGAGCAAAATGAGTGAATCTAGATTCTAATCTAAACTATATCTATAATTCTATATACATCCATATATAGTTCATATTGAAATCTCAAAAAAATACTTGTACTTAGGAACATATGTAGTTGTATTTTACATCATTTGTGCAATCTCAGTTTAGCTTCTAACATTTACTGGTTGCTTGTTGGTACATATATGAGCGATACTGATCCACGCTTCGATCCCTTTTACGTATGGGACAATGAGATATTCATGAACACGCGTCAAGTGAGGAAACTAAAAAAAGATTGTTAGACGAATGAAATGGGTGATTGGAATAAAGCTCTTTATTTACACTTTGTCGGAGACAATAGTGAATTTTAGGATGGTAAGTAATGTTTTTCCTTTTCCCTCTGCCCACAACAAGTTACTCTATTAGACCTCAGTATCTGATATTTTTCTCTTTTCAGTGGTTTTCGAAGCTATTTCCTGATGATTATCTTGCAAACTACATGACCGGAGTGGAGGCAACTAAGGTTAAAGTATATAATTCATGCTACCATGATAATGCTCTAGAAGTCTTCCTGAAAGTGGTGAAGGGTGGGCGGACGATCGTCATAAGGGGTAGGACAAAAGTGGTTCGTGCTTATGGCATGCAGGAAGGCACATTATGGGCATTTCACTTCTTCAACACTGTCGGTAGTCAAAATGATTTACACTTGTCTCTTCACATTTACTACCTTTAAATATTATGGTTCATCATAGTTAATTGCTGCCTAATCCTATAATTACTGAACATATTATACTGGCAATTTTATTTATGGATTTGTTGTTGAACCATTGTGCTGAGAATTTGAATTGCACGTTTCATATTTCAAAACTTCCAATTCAAACAATAAATTACAGGCAAAATGAAAAAGAGAACAAACGGTCATGGAGCTTTGCAAATGGTTCTGGCAGTGAAAGCACTTGTGATGGATAGCCAAATGTCACACAGTTTTCTACATCAAATTGTGTGTGATGTAGTTCATAAAAGCAAACAGTTAACCAAGCCAGAGCGTGTGTGATAGGTACACCTTTCACACACGAGTGTATACATAAAACTGTGTGGGATGTACATACGAACGAAAATGTTTCCCTGGATTGACTGTGTGGGGTGTACATAAGAACGGAAACATATTCCTTGGATTGACTATGTGTGATATACATACTAACGGAAATGTTTTTCTGAGATTCACCGTGTGGCATGTACATACGAACGGAAATGATTGGGTTTCGATGCCTCGTCCGATCGCACACGGCCCCAGCCCGTATCCTAGGAGGGCATATCCCCGGTGATTCCTGGGTCGTGTGGGAAGGACCCCCCTATCGCCCACACTTACTTGGCGACGGTTCCAAATGTCGTCGCGGAAAGGGGTTAAAAACCGTTTATATAGCACCAACGCGTACTAGTGAGAGAATCTCCCGTTTTTGCATAAATACCATGGTACAAAATCCAACATATCAAATTGTGGGAGAGGTATAGCAAGAATCCGTGCAATATCGATGGGCCAGAAAGTTTGAGCAACCAACTCCTCATTCCATCGACCAGTTGCAGGATCAATGAAATCACTAGCTTTCGAAAGCAGGTGATCTCCCTGAGCTATAACCACCTTCCTGGTCGGTGACTTGGGAATCCACTCATCATCCCACACATTGATCTGACTACCATCTCCAACTCTCCATATGTGACCTCTCTTGAGCATTTGCACCCCTGCTATAATGCTTTGCCAGGTAAGGAGGATCTCTTTTTCAAAAATGCATTCAGCAAGTCACAATCTGGATAATACTTGGCTTTGAGAACACAAGCACATAGTGAATCCGGGTTATCAATTAATCTCCATGCTTGTTTTGCAAGTAAGGTAAGGTTAAAAATAGTGAATATCTCGAAACCCCATCACACCTTCTTTCTTTGGTAGACACAACTTCCACCATGCGACCAATGCATTCTCCTCTGATTGGCACCGTCACCCCACCAATAATGCGACATCGTGTTTGTAATTATTTTACATATTTGTTTTGGAATTTTGAAAACCGACATTGCATAAAATGGTACAACCTATACAACTGATTTGAGTAACACTTCATTTCCTCTTGTTGAAAGTTGCCTTTCCTTCCACCCCATAATTCTTTTCATAACCCTATCCACTAGAAACTGGAAAAAGTCCGTCCTATCTAGACCTACAGTGGAGGGTAGGCCTAGATACGTATCTGATAGTGCCTTCGTCATTATATTCAGAGTATTGCAAATTTGCTTTTTTATATCAACACCAATATTAGTGCTAAAGAAGACACTAGATTTGCCCATACTAACCTTCTGTCCCCAGGCTGCATAGTAGGAGTTAATGGCTTCCTTAAGACACTCAACATTATCATTAATGGCTTTCATCAGAATTAGCGAGTCATCTGCAAATAAAAGATTAGTGATAGCAGGAACCTCTATACAGACTTTCACCCCTTCCAATCTTCCTTCCTCCTCGGTTTTATTGAGCAAAGCAGTTAGACCTTCATTACATAAAAGAAGTAGGTGTCCTTTTTGTGTTTGTATCATCTTGATGCTTTATTGTAAGCCAATAAAATCATCTTTTATCAAAAAAAGAAGGATGATTTGATTGGCTAGACCAGGATTCCACACCCGCACACCCACCCTCCTCCAACAAATCCTCATTAGGCTGGTCATAATGGTAGTATCATAACTAGTATCATGCATATCAACTAGACAATTTTGATGAGGTGTCATAACATTAAATGAAGAAAGAGATGATGGAGTATCATATTATGATACTGTATCATAATAAATGTTATACTACTTTGTGTCATGCATGACAATAAATAAAGTACTACATAATACTAATATATGATACTATGTATTAGAAAGGTAGTATCATACACTAGTATCATATGCATGATATTACTATATGATACTCCCCATTACAACCAGCATTATGAACCCAAAATTGCCCTCAAGCAATCGTCTCCCTGCGCCCTGTGCGCCGCAAAAATGCTAGACACATGGACTGTCCACTCAATAATTTTAAGGACTGGCTGACCTATTTTGTTTTAATTGGCCAAAGTAAACCTCTCCTCCGAGGCTCCCACAAAAACCTGGGCTTTTTCAATGGTGATCCCTATACGTCATTAAGGAGAATAGCACGCCGAGCCGCCGGCCGGAGAAGCAGGGAGAGAGAAACGGAAGCACGCCGCGTACCCACCGAGACCGCTGCCAGAGCATGAGCAATACAAGGCCAGCTGTGCGTTCAGGGGCTGCGACACTTGCATGCATGCATGCATCCACGCACGGATACACGCGCCGAGTGCACGTGCGAGCGCTCAAAACCTAGAGCTCTTCCGCCGATGTCCGATGGTCGATGCCAAATCCTAGCTGCCATGGAACGAGCTAGGCCACGTAGCACAGTCCGTACGACCCTGCACAAAAGCCATGCCCTATTGCTTGCTCATGCCATGGTGTCGTCGGAGGAGAGAGAGAGAGAGAGAGCGCGTGCACTGCTGCACACACGCAGACCCTCGCGGATGGATAATCACACATGTGCTAGGCACTGAGAAAAAGAAACATGGAGAAGAAGCTCGTCCAAATCCAAACCCGGGCGGCTCGCTGACCAAGGCGTCGTCGCCTGAGCCCGCGCGCGTTTGCCGACAGGTAGCCGCCACGTGGCCCCGGCGCGGAGACTCGTGGAGCCCACGGCGTCGCCCATGTGTCCTGCTCGCGCGGCCCCACCCCTTCGTGTCGAGCGGCCTCCTTACTTGGCGCACGCGTGGGATACCTCGGACGCACACCCTACACGTCGCCTCGCCGCCGTCTTTCCCGCCCTTCGCTTTTCCACTTCACCTGTATAAATATCCGCCTCCCAGTCCCAGATATTCCAACACACTCATCGTCAATCTATCTCATCTCATCAATGGAGCAGGAGGTGGTTGCGGGGATGAAGCAGAAGAAGTGCTGCCCGCTCCGGCGGTCGCGCAAGGGCTGCATGAAGGGCAAGGGCGGCCCGGACAACCAGCAGTGCCCCTTCCGCGGCGTCCGCCAGCGCACCTGGGGCAAGTGGGTCGCCGAGATCCGCGAGCCCAACCGCGGCGCCCGCCTCTGGCTCGGCACCTTCGCCACCGCGCTCGACGCCGCGCGCGCCTACGACGCCGCGGCCAGGGCGCTCTACGGCGACTGCGCCCGCCTCAACCTCTCGGCGTCGCCGTCCCAGATGCAGCAGCACCCTCCAGCTCAAGGCAGTGGTGGCGCCAATGGTAATTCGGCGCCAGGGACACCGTGCTGCTCCTCCAACAACTCCAACTCCAGCGCGTCGACCCCGACCGGGACTCCCACGGACATGGACTGCAGCGCCTGGATGCAGCCGTCTTACTGTTACAGCACGGCGGAGGCGCCGGAGGACTTCGAGGCGTACGTGACGCGACTGCCCAAGGCGGAGGACTTCGGACTGGAGGGGTTCCAGGAGGTGCCCCTGGAAGTGCTGGCCGAAGCCGGAGGAGGGGTCAGCATATGGGACCTCTCCATCGCCCCTGACATGGCTGCAGCAGCCGCTTCTTCAGCTGCTGCCAGTGCCTGCACTGTCCCCCAACAGCCGCTGCAGCAACCCAGCTGCTGAGGTCCAGATCGACGTCGACATAGAAAGTAAGGAGTGGCCGTGATATACAGTGCATATACAGCATGCGGCATGCTGGTCACTGGCCGTGGTGCATGCAGCTAGATAGCTACGTAGTTAGTACTAGTATTTGCTTTTTCTCCGTCGTCGCAGTAGCATACTAGCATTAATATTGGTGGGCAGGTGAGAGTGCAAGTGTGTGTATGATATAATCGTGCGTGGGAGCAGGGGTAATGAAATGATCAGTCTAATGGTGTGTGCTGCTGCAGCGGTGCTATTGCAGATATCCGGAAAGCAGCAGGTAAGTAGTGACTTAGGGCATCTCTAACACAGATCATCTGGCTGACTCCATGGAATTTCCGTCCCTCAAATAAGGCGGACTTCGACTTTCCAAACAACCGGGCACACCGACCTTTTATTGATATTGATTTTAAGATTAAATTGTACACAAAAGAAGATCCTCGAAGAAAACCTAAAAATAATTAGAAAACCATGCTCAATACTCCACCCCTCACTTTGGACCCCGGCAAGCAGGAGCCACCGACTGACCGACATGTGCCTTGTTGACATGGTGCGTATGCGAGAAAAGCATTCACGTCCACCGTTTAAAAAAAAATAAAAAAAATTAGTCTTATTGTATAAAATAAATTTAGGTCTACTTAAAAAAACTCAAACCATTTTATGTTTCAATACAGATCTATATACGTGATTGTATATACATTCCATGTCCGAAAGTGATCTATATACGTGATTGTATATACATTCGATGTTCAAAAGGAAGTTTTTCTTTAATATGTTTGAATCCACTAATCTATTAAATTATGATGTAGTCCATTCTTAAACTAATATAATAGCATTTAAAATATTAAAATAATGATCTAAACGCTTTTATAATTTTAAACGCTTCTATATTAATTTACAGAGGAGTATGTGAGTTTTTTTCACACACTTCATTGGCCTCTTAGACTAGCCATAGTAGGAGTAAATTCAGCAGTAAATTCGAGTCCAACTCAACAAATATGTTACTCTTCACCGTGACTAGTTTTATCTGTCTAGCTAGCACTCACTTTCTTTTGCGCATGCATGCACACACGCTCATTCCCTTTCTCTGGGTCGGGCTCGCGCGATCTCTCTAGCTCTTTCCATCTCTCACCCATGACTCTCTCCCTCTCTACGTCTATGCCCCCTATCTCCCTATTTCTCTCATAAACACAATATTTTTACTAGCTCCCACTCTGACACACACACTCTCTCTCTTTCTCTCTCGCGCGCGCATAAAACACATGATCGATCATTGCTAGCTCATTCCCTTTCTCTTGGTCGGCCTCGCACGATCTCTCTAGGTCTTTCCATCTCTCAAGCCGAAAGTACCTTTTTACACCCAGGAGCAAATGCTCCTGGTATGAATAGTAAAATTAAAGAACTAGAAAAAATGTTCAAAAAATTTTAATTTTTTTTTGACATACTTTCACAAATGTTTGATGTGCACATAAAATTTCATTGCGAAATCACATTGGTGGAAGGCGTGTCAAAAAAACAAAATCAGAGCTCCAAAATGCTTTTGTAAGTAACATTTTCAGAGCATCGATTTTGTTTTTTTACCACACCTTCCATCAATGTGATTTTGCGATGAAATTTTGTAGGCACAACAAACATTTGTGGAAGTATGGCACAAAAAAATTTCAGGATTTTTTGAATTATTTTTGAATTTATTTGATTTTACTGTTCACACCAGGAGCATTTGCTCCTGGGAGTAGAAACTCCACGTCCCCCCTACACCCAGGAGCAAATGCTCCTGGTATGAATAGTAAAATTAAAAAACTAGAAAAAATGTTCAAAAAATTCTGAAATTTTTTTATGACATACTCCACGTCCCTCTCAAGCATGACTCTCTCTCTCTCTCTACGCGTATGCCCCCTATCTCCCTATTTCTCACATATGCCCCCTATCTCCCTATTTCTCGCATATGCCCCCTATCTCCCTATTTCTCGCATAACTAGCTCCCACTCTGACTCTCTCTCTCTCGCGCGCATAAAACACTTGATTCGCGGGGGCAAATCTACATGGCGGGCCGGCCCATCCTAGGATTTTAGATTCGCTTATATACCATAGGAGACAGAGAATGGTGAAAAAGTAAAAGCCCATCCCTGTTTATTAGCCTCACTGCACTAGGAATACAACTAGTTACTAGTGCACTGCACTTGCGGTGCTACTGGTGCACCGAATGTCATAGAATATTTTTAAAAATCTAAAAAGAAAATCTAGCACGATAACACAACGACAATGAATGATGTCACCAAGTTTTATACAAAAATTTGAAAAAAAATTAAGATACCAAAATGAAAATTTTGTCATCGCTGTGATAAATGGGCCAAATCTAAAATCCAAATTATGTGTACTTTTTAATGTTGAAATTGTCATTTTTTGTTTTTTAAGTTATGTTTTAAATTTTGATTTAAAATTTTGTGACAACCTACATTGATGTTTTGTGAGTGCGCTAACTTTTTTTGATTTTTGAACATTTTTAGTGCACATTATGAGTCTGGTGCACCGGTAGCACCACAAGCTCCGATGCACCAGATATTTCCCCTCACTGCACTATGGCCTAATGCACTTAGTAGGCAGACACTCTTCTATTGTTCTATTGTTACCTTCAGACTCGTTGATCAAAGTGTCCCAATACAAGCAACTTGCTCCATGTTGCCATTGAAATATGATATTTGTGGTCAATTTTTTTTCAAAGTGGGCCACCCTATTTCAAAATCCTAGATCCGACACTGGGTAATGGACACCCTCGCAGACTATGGGTCAGTTTGAATCATGTCTTCACTGGTTGGCCTGGGCAAAATAGCTGCCTGGGAGTTGCCTCGACATCTCAGCAAAAATGCCTGGCTAGGCACGACCATGTTTCTGGGTTGTGTTTGGTTGCTGACCTGGGAACGTGCCTTTGTGGATAAAAGGCCCAGGCAGTATTTGGTTGCTATTTTGCCTGGGGTTGGAGATCACCATTGTGTTGAACATGGTGAAGGTCATATGCCAAAAATTAAATATAATCTAACTTTTCAAAAGCATAATAAAGCCAAATAATTTGATAAACAAAAATAATAATAATATAATGTTTCATAAGCATAACAGTGAAGGCAATAATTTTATAACTGACGATACACAACAACATTGTTGTTGAATTACCATAGTGCATTACATTTAATTAATACTCTTTGTCCAGCACATCTGGAATGCAAGAGATACACAAATTATCCTTGTGGGATTAACATAACCAGAAGTCTAATTATGTATGCATCCTGATTTTTTCCGATAAAGGGCGCTTTATTACTTAAAAGGTTTAAGCATTAAACCCGGCCTCCGCATAACTAAGATGCACACAGCCAAACAGGCAGAGTCCTCTCACCAAAACCAACAATAAAAAGAGGCGAAATGCAAAGAAACATGTAGAGTCTCCATAACGCCTAAACCGGAGGGGGACCAATGATAACCCACAAGTATAGGGGATCACAACAGTTTTCGAGGGTAGAGTATTCAACCCAAATTTATTGATTCGAACAAGGGGAGCCAAAGAATATTCTTGAGTATTAACAGCTGAGTTGTCAATTCAACCACACCTGACAGATTTAATATCTGCAGCAAAGTATTTAGTAGCAAAGTAGTATGGAAGTAGCGGTAATGGTGGCAAAAGTAACAGTAGCAGTTTTGTAGCAATCGTAACAGTTGCAACGGAAAAGTAACGAAGCAAAGATCGATATGAAATGAGCTCGTAGGCAATGGATCAATGATGGATGATTATGTCGGATGGCATTCATCATGCAACGGTTATAACATAAGGTGACACAGAACTAGCTCCAGTTCATCAAAATAATGTAGGCATGTATTTCGAATATAGTCATACGTGCTTATGAAAAAGAATTTGCATGACATCTTTTGTCCTACCCTCTCATGGCAGCGGGGTCCTATTGGAAACTAAGGGATATTAAGGCCTCCTTTTAATAGAGTACCGGACCAAAGCATTAGCACTTAGTGAATACATGAACTCCTCAAACTACGGTCATCGCCGGGAGTGGTCCCGACTATTGTCACTCTGGGGTTGCCGAATCATAACACGTAGTAGGTGACTATAACTTGCAATATCGGATCAAGAAGACAAATATATTCATGAAAACATAAAGGATTCAGATCTGAAATCGTGGCACTCAAGCCCTAGTGACAAGCATTAAGCATAGAAAAGTCATAGCAACATCAATCTTAGAACATAGTGAATAATAGGGATCAAACCCTAACAAAAGTAACTCGATTACATGGTAAATCTCATCCAACCCATCACGGTCTAGCAAGCCTACGATGGAATTACTTACGCACGGTGGTGAGCATCATGAAATTGGTGATGAAGGATGGTTGATAATGACGATGGCGACGAATTCCCCTCTCCGGAGCCCCGAATGGACTCTAGATCTGCCTTCCCGAGGAAGAACAGGGCTTGACGGCAGCTCCGTATCGTAAAACGCGATGAATCCTTCTCTCTGATTTTTTTCCTCTCTGAAAGTGAATATATGGAGTTGGAGTTGAGGTCGGTGGAGGTCCAGGGGGCCCACAAGGTCGGACGGCGCGCCCCCACCCTTGTGGCTAGGGTGTGGGCCCCCTGGTGCTGATTCTTTCGCCAATATTTTTTATTAATTCCAAAACTTGGCTCCTTGAAGTTTCAGGTCATTCCGAGAACTTTTTATTCTGCACAAAAAATAATACCATGGCAATTCTGCTGAAAACAACGTCAGTCCGGGTTAGTTCCATTCAAATCATGCAAGTTAGAGTCCAAAACCAGGGCAAAAGAGTTTGGAAAAGTAGATAACTACGCTGGAGACGTATCAACTTCCCAAATCTTAAACCTTTGCTTGTCCTCAAGAAATTTAGTTGACTAACTAAAAGTGATAAAGAAAAACTTGTACAAACTCTGTTTGATCTTGTTGTTGTAAATATGTAAAGTCAGCATTCAA